GCTGGTACAGTTTTGACGGCAGTTATAGGCTTAATCATACAGGATGCCTTTGCCCGTGATCTTCCATGCAAATCACCTGCGGCATTCTTCTTATGGAAGTACTTTCCAGGCACCTTTGCCGGCAGCCTGTTCTTAGCAACGGTTCCCATCATGCCAAGCCTTGCTCACCCATCCAATCCAAAATTGAATCTGATACAAAGAAATTGTCTGCTGTGATATGAGGTGGGAATCTCCAAATCTTTCCAGGACCTATGTTGGGAAGAACAAACGTATCAACTAGGTGATGCACTTCAGCTGGGCCAGTGCAGGAATGCCTATCATCATCGGATTTCCACCCACGGTATCGATGTTTCCACGCCCTTGGTCGGATCCGATCAACGTCTGACATAAGGACGGTCTGTCCACCCCTTGTAATCATCTTGCCTTTCAAGTAGTTAACAAGTGGACCGCCGAAGCCTTGATGCGGCCAGCTTATCTCGTCAATACATAGATCCAAGCCAGCATACTCCGTGAAGTAATTAGTGTTATTCACGATAGCATGATAGATGAAGTCAAACTTGTAAGCTACCCTACCAGAGTCCCTTTGAACATCGTTCTTGCATAGCTTCAAGTTTCTTTTGATTTCATGCCACCTAGTGCATGTCATTGTATTCACAATGTCCTCGTTAAATGAAAGATCTTTAGCATCCCATCTATACTTTATATTCTCACTTGCTCCTTCACAAGCTCCGTGCATAAACAGGATCCCATCAAAGTGAACTGCTTCAGGTAAAGTTACAGGTTTCACCTGGTGTCCTTCCCCTTCATTTGAATCCATGATGTACACTTTCGTATATCTCATCACCTTGTTGTAATAAGTAAGCTTCTTCTCTGGTTCACTTTGGTACCGCTGAACATCTGCTGTGTCAGGAGCAATAGGAAGGAGCAGCTGGTAGAAAAAGAATGTATCTCCATTCTCAATACGATCCTTTGTGAGCCCATGCTGCTGAAGTTTGTAAATATCCAACTTCCCTTTCCTCTCATCTGGAAACATGTTGTCTCTATTAGCAAACTTCCCTGCAAACTGGTAGTTATGATCATCCACTGTAGAATCTGCATCCCACCTTTGGTAATGAAACTTCCACCCATTCTGCTCTCTGATAGGTTCCTTGCCAAGACCAGATAAGTGTTTAGGAACTTTGACAGGCTTACAGTCAGAAGGCAGGAAGTGACCTTTGTACTTCCCCGTACCTGCTTCGAACTTGGGTCTGTAGTAATAAGGATGCCACCCACCAGGATTATCAACATCTTTCCAGTCCTCAGGTTCACCTTTGTCAACCTTGGGATCCTTTCTTTCATAACCCACCGGGACCTTTGGGTAGTTAAGAGTGTTGTTGACGATGGTTCCATCTTTCCAAAAGAAGAACTCAGTATCACAAGGCTCAATTGCATTGTCTCAATTCCAAGCTGTTTGTTGGCTCTGACTGATCACGTTGAAGAACTCTGCTTGTGCAGCCCCCTCGTCACTCATTCCAGAAGCTTCTGTAACATAATTAGGCTGAATTTCATCAAGTTCCTCATCACTTGAGCTTTCGTCATCCTCAAACAAAGTTTCCACATCTGATTCTAACTGAAACGCTGCTTCAAAGGCGGATTCTTGGGACTCAAAGAGAGCTGGGGGTTGTTGTCGTAAGGCTGGTTGTCGTGTTGTCCTTGTTCTTGAGGAACGTCGGTTGGTTATGTTGTTGAGTGGCATCGATAGAGTTGATATCATTGATTGTTGTTGGATCGATAGCTGGTTAGTGTTCCTGATAATGTTCCTGATACTGTTCCTGATACTGTTCCTGATAATGTTCCTGATACTGTTCCTGATACTGTTCCTGATACTGTTCCTGATACTGTTCCTGATACTGTTGCTGCTGATTACTGCTGCTGATGGGAGTCGTCGATTCGTCGCGTGCGTTGCTGATATCGTCAATTCGTTGCTGATATCGTCAATTCGTTGCTGATATCGTCAATTCGTTGCTGATATTGTCGATTCGTTGATAGAAGCTTGCTTGGATCGATAGCTGTTTAGTGTTGCTGATACTGTTGTTGCTGATACTGTTGCTGATACTGTTGCTGCTGATTACTGCTGCTGATGGGAGTCGTCGATTTGTTGCGTGCGTTGCTGATATCGTCGATTCGTTGCTGATATCATCGATGCGTGTGAGGCTTGCTTGGATCGATGGCGTTGCTGATACTATTACTGGTGATACTGTTGTTGATACTGTTGCTGATACTGTTGCTGATACTGTTGCTGATANTGATACTGTTGCTGATACTGTTGCTGATACTGTTGCTGATATTCTTGCTGGAGACAAACTGTTGCTTTATAGTGTGGCTGATAGTGTCAGTGGAGGGGGGGGCAAGAAGATGTCGGTTGTCGGAACAAGAAGCGCTCTCACTGGAATTATGGTAGCTTCAGCACATGGTTGTKAGGACTCCTCTGTGTCCAACAATGGACAACGAGTTGCCTTGCTGCTATGAGCATCATGGAGGATCAGTATTGGTGCAGCATCGGATGTTATTTTAGGTAAATATGTTCATCGAGAAGTTACTTCAAGCACTCCAACAGACATTGTGACAAAAATTCCATAGAAAAAATGGTGTGTTCCGACAAGATTTTGTGATGTCAGTTGGCGTGCTCGACATATTTTACACGGGAAAAAGATGGCCCAAAATGTACGACTGGGACCGTACATTGGATGGCCCACTCTATACGATAAAATAATGAATTATGTTATGATTTGGTATCTTAAAGTGTCACCGTGTTATTACATGTTAACTGGTGTGAGTTCTTGAGTTTCGATTAGATCCTTATGTAGACCGTGGTACTGGATCCACATAAGGTTCTTTCTATTCTTAACTCGTGACATCATTATTCTTTTGCAAAGTCACAAGTACCTTGTATCGTAGACCTCTTAGATTCCTTGGTATGATGGATTGTATGACACATAGATAGGAATGGTACCATATGATACGTAGATAGGAATGGTATGTTCAATCATATCTGTAATTCCGTATTCATACGTACCTTTACTTCCGTATCGTACTCCCATATCATGCGTATTTTTAATTCTGTATCGTAGTACAAATGTATATTTCATTCCATATCGTACTTATGTATACTTGATTCCATTGCACTACAACAGTTAGAATGTACTCCAATTAAGAGTATTACAAAGAATGAAGGATGAGCTAAAACAGGATCCTAAAAAAGGAACCTGCGCAATGCACTGTGCTATTTGAGTTCCTTGCCCATTACTATAGTGCTGTGTTATTTTTGTGTTGCAAATTTACTTGCATATCAGAGCAGTAAGTTGAGCAAGGCGACTGAGCAGAGTTGGTACTATCTGAGTTGGTGTCTCAAGCTGTGTGAGCTGTGTTGGGGCTGGCATTTCATGAGTAAGTTGTGAAGGCTGTTGCAGCTGTTAAAGAGGAGGAGGACTTTCAGTGTTCTTGTTGTTGTTCTCCAAAGTGGTGTTATCCTCACTAATCTTATATTCCTCCTCTCCATCTCCACAGTTGGCCTTCACACCAATGAAATGATTGATCTTCTTCACAAGCTAGATGATGGGAGTCAAATTTGGATTCCTAGTAGGAATTTGTTTCCTGTAGAGGGTAGCGTACTTCCTAGTGATGGATTCCTTGTCTCTTCCAGTATTCCAGTATTCTTCATGATGCTGAACAACTTGTTCCCATTGTTCTGGTCCAATAGGATGGATCTTACTAGGAGGGGTCTTCAGCATGCACATGGTCTCCCTAAGGCTGTAACTGGTGGTGCCACAGCTCCTCTCTCCTCTTTCTTGTGCAACTGGTCTTGGAGCCACTGCAGCTGCTGGTGGAGCTGGAGCCATGGCGGATACAGAGGAGGACGAGAAAGAGGAGTCAATCAAACTGCTCCTGTTTTAGCCATGGGGTGATTAGAGGGTATCACATATGGGATGTGTATCATATAGAGAACTTTGTGGCCTGCTTCCCTCTCAAGAAGACAGCGTCAGCGCTCCTCCTCCCCTTTCTTAGCATGCTCCTGCATCCTCCACAACAGAAGAATGATGTTGATTTTTGTAGTATTACTATTGAGTCTAGGGCTTCACACACCAGTCATTGTCATGGTCATCATACTCCTCTTCTCTCCTCCTGCATTTTTTGGATGTCCTTCATATTTGTGTTGCTCTTGAGAGACAGAAGCAGCAACAAGAAGTGGGGGATGTTATTTTGAGGAGGATGGATCAAAAATTTCAGCAGTTTCTTGTTCTTTTTGGCATCCAGTGACTCTGCAGACTCCTTTCTTTACTAGTAGGGTGCACCTGTTCACGAGACTGAAAGGTTAAGTCAAGTATTCTGATAAAAACATGCATCCATACATAAAAATGAGCTGGCTGGTCAAAAAAGACATAAAAATTTTATCGGGAATTACCCATTCCTACCGTACGGAGTACATATCATAAGTACGGTACGTACGATACTCGATAATCGCACAGTCTCGAATCTCGAAATGCCCTAAACTCCCAAAAAACAGAGTACGAGACGCGCGCGCCCGACGATTAACGAAGTGGATGACTGAGCCGCACGTTTTATCTCGACGGTTTTAATACATATTCATGATTTAATATGATTAAAGACAGACCATTGTTTTTGCTGAACCAGCCGATTGGCTAGCCGTTATACTGTTCACACAACAGTTCTACATTGACATCACACCCATAAGTAAAAAAATCGCACAACKGAACCAAGCGTTAAATAAGGTTGAGCTGTTTCAAAACAACCATTTCAAACTCATCGGTCGCAGAAACGGATGTGAAAATCGCCAATTTTCTGCGAGTCTCCCTAGCTCATGGTTTATTTTTATTGTTTGGAATGCTAGCTAGGGATCCAACGATAACTGAAAACGACTCCAACCAAACGACGGAGAATAGGGGATTGGAGCAACCGTCAAGGAGTTTCAATACGACAATAACGACTCACAATTTCTTGACCAGAGAAACAAACAGTTCCACAGCTACATTGTTCCTTGCTCTCCTTCTGCAATCGACTGTGTAATAAAGAATATATCGACTCGATCAATCATTTCATTGACGACGTCCCTCTGGCAATCGCAGCCTTGTTTATATCAATCAGAAAACAATTCTCATTTCCGAACTGAATCCAAAGAATGTTTCATCGTTCAAGCAATATCGCACAACCCTCTCAATCGGTAACGGGGAATCCTAGGCGTGGGGCCTTCCGAGTGAGTCGACGCAGAAATTTGAGACACGGACAAAGATGCGGACAAAGCTACTTTTACGGTTCCTTACGTTGATACGATTGTGGATGTTGCCTTCCGCGACAAGTTTAATGAAGTTTTGGTGAAAGGATAATCTTGCAATAAATTGACAATCACCATTCTTACATTTCTATCTCCATTAATTTTTTACAGGATCTAACAAATGCTAACCAGCAAGAAAACAACAATGGTGGCAAGTCGGGAAAAAATATTCTTCCAGAGAAACGCGTTGCTCGTCCCGATGCCTTTGTTCCAGTCAGTCGACAACCTAATTCCTACCAGCACAGCAATCGTCAGGGTGTTGTTATGGAACAGCGTAACCCAGAGGATGAACAACGGGAAGCCCAAACTCTTCAACATGTCATGCACAGAAGTGTCTCGATGAACAACAATCCCTCAGTTGCTGTCAATCCCTCGAGTTACCAATTCGGACCTGCCGACAATATCGATGAACGAGATGCGGAAGATCCGCTTTGTGCCACGGAATATGTTCAGGATATGTACGATCATTTTAGAGCGAAGGAAGGAATAACATCGGTCCGCCCGCTGTACATGGAAAACCAGACTCACATCAACGAACGCATGAGATCTATTCTTGTCGACTGGTTGGTTGAAGTTCATTTGAAATTTAAGCTGGTACCAGAGACCTTGTACCTTACAATCAATTTGATTGATCGTTACCTTGAGAGGCAAGAAGTATCTCGGCCCAGGCTTCAGCTTGTCGGAGTGACTTCTCTATTGATTGCTTCAAAATACGAAGAAATCTACCCACCAGAACTACGGGATTTAGTTTATATTTGCGACCGTGCCTACACTCGAAAAGAGGTATGATGATGTAGACACACTCATGTGCATTTTCCCTTCATAGTACTTTGGATGTCTCTAACCTTCTTCGTTGTTTTCTTCTTCAATTTGTTAGATAATTGAAATGGAGGAACAGATCTTGAAGACGCTCGAGTATAACATTACTATTCCATCCGCACATGCTTTCCTCGTCCGATTCCTGAAGGCTGCCCATGCCGACAAGCGAATCGTGCAGCTATCTTGTTTTATCCTAGATGGAACCCTTCAAAGCTACAACTTGCTTCACTATCTTCCTAGTCAGCTCGCAGCTGCAGCGGTCTTCATCGCGCGTCGTACTGTGGGTCGAAACTCTTGGAGTCCAACTTTACTTCGCTACGCTATCTACCGTGAGGAAGAGATTGCACCTATTGCTAGAGCTGTAATGGCCGAAAAATCTTCGGCCGCTCACGAACTCCGTGCGGTCAACAAGAAATACACTAGCAGTCGTTACGGCGCGGTTGCGAACTTAGCGCTTAGCTGCGACTTCTAAATGCAGTGTTACCATCGTGGCGGATAATGGTAAATCCGATTGCGCATCTGGTATTTGTCTACCTACCAACCAGCTCGAGAATAACGACAATTTTACCATCGCAAAAATGATACGACTCTGTTTCGCTGACTCTTTGGAAGAGCAGCGTTAACATCGAGATAAAATAGCAACATTGGGACTCAGCAAAGAGGAGAAAGGTTGTGAAAACAACATCCGGTCCGACTCGTAATCAGGGGACAGATGGATGGGAAAGGAAACCCACCGTGACTTTTTGCTGTATATTATTCTATGACAGCTAAAAAGGCATCCCATGAGGGAAAGCTAGCAACTAGCGATGTAATGATAAAATTTATACATCCTATTGAAACAAGTCAACTCGATGCGACTGACTTCAAAAGGCATACAATACATTCATAACGATAACATAATAACAACATGTAAAAACGTGGATTTCCGACTTGCCCAATTGCTTGCGAAGTAAAAGCACCGATTTCGATGTACGGTTCTTTGTTGATGTTGTCAACTTATTTTCTTTCCGCTTCCTTCTCTAGCAGTCTGTTCTTGGTTTGGTTTTTGCATAGAAAAAGAGGAAACTGAATGTTGTGAATTTGGTACACTATGAATGTGTCAATTATTGACAATGATACTACTACTACCAACAGCAGAATATTGTGGTGGATAATACAACCAGCATGCTGGCACCAGACGCTCATCAGAGCTTCCAACCAGTTACTGGTAATATATACTATTGGATGGTACAGATGGTAGTGGTGTCTCAATTCACTTCTTGCAGGATATTCCTACTACAGAGAACCATGGTCCTGCTCTCCTGCCAACTTAAAGCTGCACTATTAGCCAATTTTGAAGTAGTAGTGCCACTCCTTTCAATGCAAGTGCCCTTTAATTCAATATCGCCATTGGGCCTCATCTACAATCACAGTCTGCTGCAAGTGCAATCTACTTTCTGCGTGATAAATATTTGGGGGTGCATCAACTAGAGGTGTTTTTGCAACTGAGTTTCAATATGAGTTTTCTAACACCAGTTGCATGTGGAAACAATGAGAGGGGGGGAAAAATATTTTGAAGTTATTTGCTTGGAGAAGTTAAGAACTTCAAATGTGCTGGTTGCACTGGTATTGTATAGGCTCAGCTACTAAAAGAGAGAAATTCCATGAAATGTTGGCTAATTACTGGGTTTACTACTACTTTGGTCAATATGAGACCATTTTCAACCCACAGAACCATCACAACATGGAATTGGTGCAATTCCAACACATGAACCTAGCCCCCATGCACCTTTCTCCATCATGTTAAATCTGGAAGAGAATTGGTTTTGTGGTTGGAGAGCAATTCCATGAAATGTTGTTGTGTTACTGGGTTTACTACTATTTTGGTCAATCTGACACCAATGTCAACTTACCAACCCACAGAACAATCAGAATGACACAAAAGAGATTCACAGAGCACCACGGCACCAATAGAGGCTTGCAATACAATGTACAAACTTCGTCATCCATAAGGCCTAAAAACAAGGTCAACCACTTCCAAAATACTACTACTACTACTACTACTACTACTACTACTACTACTACTACTACTACTACTAGTAATTTGAGTCCTGGACTATCCAGAGTCTGTATTTGGTCCATATTTTGGCAGAATAATGGTCACATGCAATGCAAAACAGATTCACATAGCTCCAATGGCACCAATAGACTCCCAACACAACCAATACACTAACAACATGGTCACTCACTTCCAAAATTCCACTAGTTTTTGTACATGTTGGGTACAATCCCTTTTTTCCACATTTATGACTGGTCAGAAAAATACTTGTCGATTTTGACAGTTTTGGGTGGTGTTTTGGATGCATTTTTGTTGACAAGATCATTATCTCAAAAAATGTGGCACAAATTTCAAATGTGTTGTTGCTGGCTGCTCCTGATTTTACCACAGATGTAAAAAACAATGAAATGTTTTTTGGGTGGTTCAGATACCTCTGGTGTAGTTCCTGGAGGTAAAACTTTTGAGAAGCAGATGGTCCAAAATTTGCTCCAGCCTAGAATAAGTCAAAGAGTGATTGTTTCTGCATTAATTTCCAAAAAAGCAAATGAGAGAAGATAAATTGAAGTACAAGATGAGGAAATTGGTGGGGGCAAGCAACAAGAAGAAGGTTTCAATCTAACTGACCCAGATGGAGAAATGTGTGAAGAAGGAGACGATAGTAATATTGGAATACTGGGAGAGGGGGAGATGATGTAGACAACAGCATAAATGATAGGGAAAAGGAAATACTCCATAGAATTAGAGCAGATCCCTCAGTAGATCTTCTGATGGAAGCCAACATACTACAGACCAAGCACAAACTTACAATGATTTGTGTTCCCGCAATTATGAATTGGGCAAGGCAAGCAACAAAAGTTCAGCAAGTTGATTTTTCAGAAATGAGGACAGATTGGAGAGGCACTGTTATGGATGATCTTGCTAAAAAATGGGGATGGATGAAATGGAACACCACACCTTCCAGCAAACACATATTGATTGGTTGCCAGGTGATTTTTAACAGCAAGTGCAGATACAAAGTTTTCTACAGGCCTTGCACAGCCTCCTGACAAACAAGGATTTAATGAGGGAAGATAACCTATCCTTTCCCCACAGCACAGATCCCGTGTCTCCAGAACATTATTGGTCACTGACAGAAAATTTGGTTATCACTGAATTACATCATGGTAGCTGGTGGACTGAATCTTGGAAAGCAGAAATCTGCAACAAAGAGAAGGGGAAAATTTTGGTGCTGTTCATATTCTACATGGATGTTATCTCCCTGGACAATAAAGAGAGCCTAATGTTTTGCCCTTTGAATACAACACTTGGTATACTCAATATGGAGAGGAGAAAGCAACCCAATGGTTTGACAACAAAATATTTCCACCCACAAGAAGAAAAAATAGGACCAAAAGCTACATCAATAGAAAAAGTAAAAAGTCTCCACAACCAAATCAAGGCTGCTATGGCCTCTTATAGAGCTCTAACAGAAAGCCAGAAATGGGTACAATAGGACTACCTGAAATATTGTGGAAAAGATTGGAAAGTCCTGATGAAATTTGCAATTGTGTATGTCATTGGTGATACACAATAGCATGGCAAGCTCTTTGGTAGGTATCATGCCTCCGAATAGTGAAGGAACAAAATGGCTATGCAGAAATTGTAACTGTCAAAAGGATCCTGCTAATGTGGTCCTGAACAAGAACATTGGACCAAATGCATTTAGGTTCAGCATGTAGATACCCAACATCTTCTGTCCTCTGGTAGGAGATAAGGAAGAAGAATTCTTGAAGAATGTTTCTCATCATAGTAACATTGAAAACTCCTAGTGAAAATTTGGAAACCTTCACCTAGAATTGGTAGGAAGGTAGAGGTCCTTGCACAACAATTTGGGCTTTACATGGGGCTTTATTGAGACAACAGTCAGATAGACTTTTACCAAGGACAAAGTTTGGACAGCAAATTCTTCATGCAATGAAAAAGGAAGGACATGATTTTGCTGGTATGCTGAATTGTATTCTCCTGGCTATATGTTCAAAGTGAGGTAGACATGTTGTGGACAGTACCCAATTTGTCAACAAGCAGGTCAAGCTTATTGAAATTGTTCTGTCTGTAGAGGAGTTCCTGAAACATTGGAAAATCACAGTGAAGCAAAGAAATGGTCTTCAAAAAGTGGTGGAACACTTTATCAATGTCATCAGCAGTACCTGTCTTAGGTCAGGAATGGGAACAAAACTCATTATAAACCATTTGTATTTTCACTTCCAGAAGTACATTGAGTTGTGGGGTTCACCAAATGGTTGGGATTAAGCACCAATTGAGGCTCACCACAGAACAGAAATAAGAGCACCATCAAAGAACAACCAATGTAACTCTTCTACCTTAGTGGAACAAACACCAAAAAGACAGTCAGAACTCATGATATCAAAAACTGCTTCTTGCAACTTTCTGCTACAAAAGGCATGGAACGAGGAATGCATAACAGTCCAAGCAAGAGACAACCAAGCTGGATCAAAGTTTAATATAATGAGGGGAAGCCATGGAAGACCAACAATGAAATGAGAAAGGGGGGAAAAGAAGGACCTTCTTCCTGGATGTTGTACTAGAATATTGCTGCAAACAGGTTCTGCCATTTTTGACAGATAAAACAGAAGTGTGCAGATTTACAGACCACAACAGCAACTATGATGGTGAATATCATTTGTTGCAGTCAAATCCATCATTTGGAACTGACAGTGGGCAGGGAAATGGTACATGAATGGATTGGGCTGTCTTCAACTGTGATGAATAATATTATCCAAGCCATATTATGTGTTTCCTTGATCTGAAGGCATATGGTTTGGATGATAATGCATAGGATGGAAGGGAATGCTCCTTGATGATTGAAGATGGTTTTTATGCCATTGTCCATTGTTTCCAAAGGGAACCAAAACCAACAGACTACTACAGTCTTATCAAAATGGGAGTCATTGATCAAAGAAAGTTTTACATATTACCAAAAATTGTTTCCATAGTTGCTGTGGTGCCAAATCTAGAAGTTGTGTCAAATCATCTGGCATGGCTTGACCATTTTGGAAGCAATTAAGGTGGCTGAAAAATGAATACACATATATTGCAAGTTTAAAGTGGTGTCTTATATCCTATCATGTGTCATTGTGGTCTTCCTCCTTTCCTGAAAAATAGAATGTTCATCTTCTGTTTCCTCTTCATCTTCTGTTTGCAATTTATCCTCTGTTTTCCCCTCATCCTCCTTTTCCTCACCACCACCAGCATTACTATTGTCTAAACACTAGTGGCAGGCATGAACCAATCCAAAGGTGCATACCCCAAGGGGAACGCTGTCCAAAGTTCTTCTGGTGTTGTAAAAAGCTGTGGTTAGTTCTTTGTCTTCTGGTTTTGGATTTGCATTTTGGGGTTGACTCTTATGGCATACTGCTCCTTATATTTTAGACAATAAGGGACAGGGAACAATGCATGGGATGGTGCACAATACACCATGGACCAAATGAGGTAGGGCACTGTAGTTCTTTTTTTAACAGAAAAAAAATAGCAGGACCACACCCTTCTTTATTTCTTGCAGAACAATGCTTTTGAAATTTTTGAGAGATTGATCAATGCTCCCAACTTGTTGTTGCATGCATCCTTGAACTGACAAAAATAGCCTGCTGGAGTCAAATTGTCAACTGCCAAACTTGTCCATCCTTTCTTGCACTGTAGATACCAAAGTGGCAGGATCAATAATGTTGTCATCATCGTTTTTTCTTCTTGGTTTGACCCAATTTCCAGTCTAGTTGTTTTTCCCCTTATACCTGAGCTGGTCTTCCAGTTTGTGAACTTTTTCCAGAACAAGTTGTTTGTTCTCTCTCTTGAGTTCCACACCAGTAGGGGGGGGGGGGGGGCACCATTCTTGTCACAGTGGTTGTGGTTGTGGACCTGTCTCACCATCTTGGTAACAGTGATGATGCCAAATTACTATCTTTGAAGTCAAAGTAAATGGCACAATTGGATAGGAAAATGATACTAACAATATTCTCAGCCGTCCATTACTGTCTTTGGTCCCATTTCATTCTTTTTCTTGTGCACCAAAATCAGAAGGAAAGAGGAAGCATAATGCTAATTGTGATTGGTAACAAAAGCATTCCCTCTTCTTTTTTATGCACTTCTAGTAAGATGGTTTTGATTTTGTTGTCTTGTAAAGGTATTTTCTAATTTATTGTATGATTCTTGTATTTTTTGAGTCTACTGAACTTTTTCACATGTGCTCTAGCCTGTTGCGATGGAACATAGGACCAGAGGATGTTGCGAATCAATTTTTCAGGGTATAACCTGCGCTTTCCATTGCTCCGTTTAGCATCAAGTTCGAAATCATTGCCCAAGACCGAGGATAATAGCTAGAAGGCAAGGGAGTTGCTCCCAAGATTTCACCTGCAACGTCAACCATTGCATTGGCGTTTGTTATATCAGAGGATGCAGCAATCAGAGATGAATAAGTAGGACCGTAGATAAAGGCATTGGACTGCCAGTCCCCAAACATATTGATGTTTTGCCCCGTGTTGGGACCGCGGCAACTAGGAAAGGTAGCAGAAGAGAAAGATCCGTTTTGAAAGTTTCCATCCATTCGCCCATAAAAGTTGCTCAAGTAAGGAGACCAGTCACCCGACATTTCCGGATAAAATGCTGCATCTAAGGCAACACGGAATGTGGTGCGAGCAGCCTCAGCTCCATACTCATACTGTGGAGTGCCACTACCGGAAAATCCACCTCCAGAGTGAATGATGTTGCCGCTGCTATCTTCCCCAATCGTTGCCCAATTGGGAACGAGAGCGCCTCCATTCGAGCACTGGACAGCACGCAAGACTTCATGAGAAGTAGCAATCAACTTGTTCCATTCTTCTTCTGGAATTCCACTGTAGCCATCACGGTCGCTGTTGGAGAATGATTTTTGGTAATCTTTCATGACGCGGAAAGATCCAGGAGAATGGTAGCTGGGGTTGTTTCCCTCACCTTCCCACCCGCCCCAACAGGAGCCAAGCTTCACCAAACGATGGTTGCTTCTAGATTTGTCAACCTCGAATTCAAAAAATGCAGTTGCTGAAGCATCGGCCCATTTTCTTGCTGTTTCATACCAACTTGGTTTATTTGTGTCATTCTCCACGGCCTTTACTGCTAAAATGATGCCCACGATGGCATCCTCGTCAGCATCAGGAGCAGGTCCAGTGGATTCGGAACCTCCGGTCTTGTAATGTCTCCAATCGGGAAGGCAGACGTACTTTGATCCAGACGAAGACTTGCAATAATCCCCCCCCGGTTGACAGTTGGATCCTTTGTTGGACGAATTCTTCGACATTTCGATCCAAAAGTTGAAATATCCCTCAAAAGAATCGAGGACATCGGAACGTCTAGAATTCGGAACCCTCCCTGCGTGGGTGTTCCAACTCGCAAGTACAGTCCCGGTGATCAACAGTCCATATGCTTGACTTTCGCTGACCACTAGATTTCCAGACCCGGCGGCTCCACCACTGTTGCAAGAAAAAAATATGGATCCAAGTTAGTATAATCAATTCAGTTGCAAATGAGACAAAAATTTGAACAAGAGAGGGTTGCAGTTGACTTACGATGCAACAAGAGCATAATTAGGAGGATTGACACTATTCTTGTGGGTGATATAATCGAGACCAAGATAAATATCCCATGTGTTCATTGCCTTGTCCGTCCTAAGCAAAGATGGCTCCGCAGTCGGAGCGGGAGAAATTGTTGGCTCTATAGGGACAGTAGGAGAATTGGTCGGAGCATCAGTTGGTGGAGGTGGAACAGGAGCAGAAGTAGGATCAAGGTTTGGTAGACACGCAAAGTAGTTCGATTCAGACCTCCACTGACAAGACAAACCGCTGCAGCAACCGTTATGGCCAGTGTCATTGTTGTGGTCACATCCAGTCCAACGTTCACCGCATTGGGAATTTGGAGCCCCATTTGGAAGCCACGCAACATCGGGATTCGAGCAATTCATGCAGGAGTCATAATCCGAGCCGCACCAGTCAATGCAGTTCTTGTAGTCCAAAGAGCAGCAGCCATTGCTATTTTGCTGCGGGATATTAGTAGGAGAAAAGGAGACCTGAGCTTGGGGAGAATTGCTCGGTTTGCTGCTTGGCAACACTGTGGGCGAGTTAGAAGGCGATGCTGTAGAATGACTTTCCGGAGAGCCGGTTGTCGCAAGAGGCGTAGGCAAGGTCGTGGGCGATGCTGTATTCTGAGATGCTGACGGACTGCTGGAGGGTGGATTGGAAGGAGAAATGGCTTCCGAGACACTTTGTGTTGGCCGATGCGTACTAGGACTAGTCGGAGGTCCGGTTGGAGACTTGGTAGGAACCATTGTAGACGATGACTGAAGAGGTAAGCACATCAAGAAATTATTGTCATCTTCTCGACAAGTCATACCATCACAGCACCCATTAAAATCATTCTCACATCCTGTCCAACGGCGAAGGCACTGCTCTTTTGGCGGCCCGTTCTCGAGCCAATGGACACCATCATGGTGGTTACAGTTTAAGCAAGAATCTTTTGTCGGTCCACACCAATCGATGCATGTTTCGAAGTCCAACGTACAACATGCACCAGCAGGAGATGGTGCATTAATTGGAGAATCCGATGGTCCATTAGTCGGCTGCCCAGTTGCTCTGATAGAGGGCGAGTTTGACGGGGTCGTATCCATTGCGGTAGGGATAGAACTGGGATAAGAACTCTCTGTTGGAGAACTCGTGGGTGAGGTCGTAGGAGATCCAGAGGGAAATTGCGAAACCGTGGGGGAGGCCGAGGGTGATTCAGTAGGAGATTTTGGAAATGTTGGAGAGGCTGAGGGTGATCCAATGGGAGACAATGTGGGCGCTGTAGTGGATGGTAGCTCAGGTAGACACATCAAGTAATCATTGGGATCTTCGCGACAAGTTAGACCAGGGCAACAACTATTAGGGCTGTTTTGGCATCCCTTCCAACGACTCTTGCACTTGTCTTGGGGTGGTCCGTCTTTGAGCCAACCTACGCCATCGTGATGGTTGCAGTTCAAACAAGAATCTTTTGTTGGTCCACACCAACCGATACAGTGCTTAAAATCCAACGAACAGCAAGCATCTTCAGAATCACCTCCAGTATCAGGATCGGGAATTGGAGGAGAATCAGGACACGCATCACATGTCATGGGGCAATGTTTCTTCAACTTCTTGCCCTTCCATGTTTTCTTGCAACGCATCTTCGTATTCTTTGCTACCCAATCGCAATTGCGTTGTGGGTTTTCTCTGAATTGGAGGTTCTTGTCATCCTCGCAACTGGTAGGTTCCTCCTCTGGACAAGCATTGCACATCTGGGGGCAGTATGCACTGAGTTCAATTCCCTTCCATGTTTTTGAACAGCGCTTCTCGGGCTTCAGACCTACCCAATTGCATTTCTTCTTCTTATCGTTGTTGTATTTGAACTTAGGATCGTCAAAGCAAGATTCGTTGCTGTCATTGTCGTTTGGGCATTTGCCGCAGGCATCAGGACAAAAAGTATGGATTTTGACTCCATTCGATTTTCTCCCACAGCGGTTCTTGGCGGCACGGCCGACCCAGTTACAATTCTTCTTTGGATCATTTTTGAACATGAAGTCTAAATCGTCAATGCATGCATCCTGAGCATAGGCAGTTGGCATGAGTTGTCCACCAACACCGATCAAGACGGCGTACACAGTGAGATAGATTACTTTCAACATCATTTATGGGGCGTGATCGTATGTTTTTATTTCTTCGTCTAGATTTGCTTTGGTTTATTGTAGAAATTTTGTTCTATGTTGACGTTGTTTGTTATCGGGTTACTTAATTTTTTGGTGTTTGTTTCGGTTTCTGCGTCGAGAAGAAATTGTGAGACATTCGAATGAATGATTGCTAATCACTTACTCTCTCCAGAAAGTCGTTTGATATTGAATCCACTGAGTGCCTGGTCGGAATGACTCCGTTCTAATTGGAATCAAGTGTTGGATACTTTTTGCGAATCATTGAAACAAGATGCAATATATCTTCCAGGTCATCTCGAATAGTGAATGGGCTTATGATACTCTGCATTTTTTAGTCTTAACGAAAAGTGAAGTCCAACGATGAATTCCCAAGATCGTAGTCGTCGAAATAAGTTCAACTGTAAAAAATAAACATTACTGTATTACCGGTATAAATCTTCGGTTCTCAAGTGTTCTCAATGGAAATTGTATTGTATTTTTCAGAAATCGTTCATTCTTGTTCGAACACGAAACATGACTAGATTGGATAGAAGTAGTAACCGTTGAGTAGCATCGAAATTACATGTACTACGCGTTTCATAACAATTGCCTCGAAAGAGAGCAAAAAGTAATAATTTCAAGTTCTTAACTTCGATTTGAAGTTATGAACTTCAAATGTCCTGGTAGAAAGTCTACAAGGTTCTACTGAGCTAGTTTTTGGATGGCATTCATGATTGATTCATGATTGAATCAGCTCAAACCATTTTTAATCGCCCTGAACCATTTTTTTTGTTTTGAGGGGCCCCGGGAATCCATTCAGCCATTCAGCAGTCATTTTATAAAACTAGCTCAGTAGAACCTGGTACATGATGTACGAGCAAAAGTTCATAACTTCAAATTGAAGTTAAGAACTTGAAATTATTACTTTTTGCTCTCTTTCGAGGCCGATTTCAATTGTTATGAAACGCGTAGTAACCATGCGCGCTTGGTTACTGTACGTTACAAAAAACTAACACTAACAAAGACTAGTTATTTTTGCTTAAGTGCACGCACCTCAAGCTGGTTGTTACAAGCGCGCGGATTGAGTTTTTGTAACCAGAAATTGTAACCAAACCCTTTCCTAAGGAGAGCCCATATTTTTTACACGATACTACTACTAGTCTGGTTACAAAACAAAAGGGTCTGGTTACAAAAACAGGTGCACTGGTTCCCTTGTGTGCGCTTGTAACCAGGCGCACAGGTGCACCATGCACCTCGACAGGGGTCGACAGGTACAAACTAAAAACTGTCTTCACTAAATACTGTAGTACGTAGTATTAGTACTAAAAAATGCAAGCAGTTTTCAGTGAAAAACTGATCTTGATTGCTATTCCAGTACAAGCTTGTGTAGAAAACACCATATAAATATTGATTTGCAGGGGGAAACAAGCAAAAAATCAAGCAAAAACACCAGCAGCAGAGCAGAACGCCGTATCGTATCAGCATCATCCGTATCAGCAACTCATATCAGCGTCCTCTGTATCAGCGTCCTCCGTATCAGCGTCCTCCGTATCAGCGTCCTCCGTATCATTGAGCGTCCTCCGTATTAGCGGCTCCTCCGTATCGTATCACCAACTTGTATCAGCGGCTCGCTCCTCCATATCGTATCAGCGGCTCCTCTGGACGCCGTATCAGTGAGCGTCCTGGATGCTTGCTTTACAGAGGGCCTCCCAGCAGTAACCTCGCGCTGCATGGTTACATGTAATTTCGATGCTACTCAATCGATTATGTAAATAACTGTGGCATCGCATCGGTCCCACGCCACAAGTATCTTCAACACTCCTAACAACAAGCTCTCGAGCTAAAGCTCTTGCGCTTGTTGTTAGGAGTGTTGAAGATACTTGCAGTAACCTCACTTCGATCTCGAGCAAGCTCTTGATCTCAGTGATGTTACTGATGTACCAAGAATGTAACCAGAATTTTGTACCTGTTGAGGTCCGTGTTATTATCACGTAAAGAGTTTTTGTACTGTGGGTTCTTGAGCTAAAGTACGTACTACGAGTAGAAAGAGACTAAAGGGATAGCCCAGAAGTTTCGTTAGACAACAATTCGATTTTTTTATTCTGCATCTCCATTTCCTCCCTCCCCCTCCCCTCCACACACAATAACTGCTGAGTCCACTGAGGTCTCTTGATCCTCTTGTTTAATTCTCTGAGATCAACAAGCCATCTGACTCGCCCATTTTTTTTGGGAATGATAAAGGCTGGGAAGCCCCATTCTGAATTGCCTGTTGGAGCTATCACTCCCTCATCTACCAGATGTTGGCATTCCTTTTTGAACATGTCTCTGTGTCTGTAAAGAATTGGGTATGGTTTGACATACTTGGGTGTGGCATCCTCCAAGAGATCTATGTGGATCTTTTCATGCGGATATCGGCCTAGCTTCCCATCAAACAACTCCGTGTATTTGGCTAGCATCTCCTGGAATGCTAGTCTTTGTGAACTGTTCATATGCTCCTGGTGGTTTGCAACCTCTTCTGGAGTCACTCTCTGGTATTTTGCATTGAGTATTTTATTGAGCTCTGTTCCAGTAGCTCTGGCAGTGCCGGTTGGGCCTACTAGATAAATATGTCCGAGCTGTCTGCACGTCTGCAGTTTTGTCATTGGCAGCTTGGAGGAAGTGAATGAAACTCTAGGAATCCTCCATCTAGGAGCTCATCATCCTCTGCCAGCCACATGGCCTCTGCCACCTGCTGGGGATTATTGAAATGGTTCAATGGTTTCATCTCTATGGTTGAATCCAAGCACTTGATGATGTGTTTTGAGAAGAAAAGATCTATCCTGGTCATCCGTAGG